CTCGTCCTTTCAGTATCGCCTGTGATGCTTCGGACTTTACTATCGACTGTGCACTGCCGCAAGCAGACGCCGGGGGCTCGATCGGGTGATCGCGTTCGAATCTCGCCAGCTTAAGGATGCGGAAAAGAACTTCCCAGTCCACGACAAGGAATTGCTTGCGATGAAGTATGCACTTGTCCTTTTTAGAGTGCACCTGCTCAGTTGCAAGCCGTTTGTGATCTACACAGATCATATGTCACTACACACTGCAGCTCAGTCGCCCCACCTCTCGCAGATGATGGCTAGGTGGCTCTCCTTCATCGCAGAATATAACTTCGTGTTGAAGTAAAATTTAGGAGAGCGGAATGCTTTGGCTGAAGCATTGTCACGCAGACCGAATTATGAGCTTGCTCATGTCATGACGATGACGCCGTCAGTGATGGATTTGATCGGCGCTGCATACGCGCGGGTGATGATATGTGCGTAGCGCTGCTACGGGCTCTCGGAAGCAAGGGGTTTGGAACATTGGACAAGGAGTTATTGTCGTGATTGCGCGCTCTGATGCGCCGGGTTCGATATATCAAAGTTGCTGTATAATAGCACCGACTCGACGGATATGCGTGGCGTCATAGACGCAGTCGACGCTGGTATCTTCTGCTCTAGGTGCACAAGCAGAACATTTTAGCTCGAAAACACATTTAGGCGCGCGCTGATTGCTTCAGGTCCTTTCGAGGCGAGGTGTTGCACGCCCTCAGGGTCAAACAGAGACACAGCTATCTAAAAACATGAATTGTGGTCCCTCATGATGAGTTTTAGAATTTCCGTATCCTCTATGAGGCCCACGACACCCCACTCGGTGGACATATCGATCTTGAGAAGACGTACAACTCTGTAAGTTGCCACTAATTGTGGCCCAAGCTGTACAAATGAACGAGCACCTATGTGCGCACTTATAAGACGTGTCAACTGGTGAAATCCTCTCGAAACGCGGTGGCGCCGCTGGCCAATTTGCCGGTTTCCTTTGGGTGCTGGCAGTCCATGAGTATACCCTTTGTGTTTGATTTGCCGATGGACTCGGCGGGCGGCACGGGTGTCGAGGTCTTTGTAGACTATTTGAGCAAGTTGACTCATCTTGCGGCGGTGCCGGCGGTGTCGGTACAGCAGAATATTTGCGGATCATATCTTTTAACAACATGGACTCTCGGAATTAGTTGTCTCTGACAGAGACCCACGCTTCACTTAGAAATTTTTGTCGATAGTCTTCAATGTGCTGGGCACCAAGTCGACTATGTCAACAGCGGACCATCCGCAGAACGATGGTCAGACTGCTTAAATCGCGTTGCTAAAGACTTCCTTCGCAGCGTCTGCGCTGAGACGCATAGGCACTGGAGCACCATGCTGCC